TCAAATGTCAAAGGGAATTCACCTGATGTACCCATAAGAGATCTGAGTTTCCTCCTTGCTCCTCTGTGATCACGTATGGAATTTCGTCTATGTAGACTAGTAGACCCACTTCTACTATTCATTCTATTGACACTACCTGAGTGCTGTAATAACCGATTATTCAATATATTATCGATATTATCATAGCGAGTGGACGGGTTGCTGTTAAGAGATTGGAGGAAAGTTGCGAAACCAGTGGACTGGGACAATTGTTGAAGTAGGGTGGTAGAGGAGGAGGAAAGAGAAGATGAGCGTACGGAAGAGGACTGAACAGCTGCGGTTGGGTTAGCCGTGATGCGCATATTGAGAATAACTGTTGTAGTATAATGAATTATTGTGTTGAAATGTGTGAATGTAGAGAATGTGTCTAACGTGAGAATGAAGTGGAAAAGTGGGAGAATTATCAGCATCATGCATTGTGTATACTCTTAATAATGACGTCAGAGAACCGTTGATTGATGAGATAACGGAGACTGATAAAATCCGTTATTAAATGCCATAAATTTGGTTTGTGTTGGGTTTTTAGTTACTGTAAGTTATTTGCTCAAGTTATTGGTCGCATACCTGGATGGATATCTAGTATAGAAATTGTGGCCGACGAGAGAGTACGTTTTGACTATGTAGTTGTTTCGTGAGGTGTGAAAGTATTATTGCTACAACGCACAAAATGTTCTCTCAATGTATATTTTGGATAGCAAGAACAGCATTATTAGCTATGAATGAATATTGTGGTTTAAACATATTTAATTTGTGGCGGTAACTGGTCCGTGACAGAAATTGGGTTGACGAGTCATTTTTATGAGCATCATAACTGGGATAATGTTTTTAAACTACCATCCGACATCTAATATGGATTGAACATCGAGAATATAAGGGGAAAGGTTTTGGCGCACACAGTTTAGAATTTTTACCGCCATTTGATAATTGAGCAGACGTATTCCATTATTTTAATCGCGTCATAAGAAGACATTTCTACGACTTAATTTATACACGTTTTATCATTATTATGAATGATGCAGGACTTTTCTAAACCAGGTTAGGGTTTACGTACTGTATTAGCGCGAGAGATTGCTCCCAATACGCAAAAAAAAACAACATTTAATTGTATTAATATTAACTACTCCACCGTCCCACTCGTGTTAAGATTGGACATCTTTTGTTTTATAATCACTTTACAGTAATCCGGTTCAAAAGTCGTTTAATTGTTGTAATAGTGACCTACGGGGGCATGCAGCCATAAAACCAGACAAAGTGAACATTTCAAAAATCGATAGAACTAAGACGTGATTGTTGCTCATTTACAATCTATAGGAATAGACCAAAATTTTCATTGCAGTTAACAACGGTCAGGTGAATGAACATGCTTTACATTCCATTAATCAGCCTATCTATTCCCTATTATGTCTCTAAAACGAACATAAGGGTTGTTTTTATAATAAAGTTTACATATCACCATTCGATTGTCTTCTCAGACTATCTATGAT